TATTAATTAAAAAAATCTAAGGTGTAGTTCACCTGTATTTATCCGTTGTTGTGTGCCTCAGCCTCCCAAGTGCTGGGATTACAGGTGTGCACCACCATGCCTGGCCAGTCCTGTGAGTTTTGACACTGTGCACATATCCAGGTGACCATCATTAAAACCAAGACATGACAAATTTCACCCTCATATGCCTCCTTGTTCCTGCAATGCACCATTCTGTCCTTATCCCGTGTGTCTCCCACGCCTATGACTTGGCCTTTTCCAGAATGTCCTGTTGAAGTCATTAAGGGTTCTCCCAGCAGGAAGTCTATCAGGTTTGGCTTTGTGCACTCAGTGTAATAGCTTTGAGGGCCTCCATGTGATACCCACCCCTTTTTGTTGCTCAGCAGGATTCCTTTGTGGGGATGGACAAGGTTTGGTTGCCCATGAAAGAGGTGAAGATGTGCTAATGTGAAATTCTCAGACTCGGCAGATACACTGAGCTGAGGATACTGGAGAAACTGTAGCTGCAGAGGGTCATCCCGTCTGGCCTGCCATGGAGATTCTTTCATCTGTATGGAGGAAGGGTACCTTCCCCAAACCACAGAGAAGAGTCTTTAGTGTCAGAGACTGGGAACCAGGTTGTGATGGACCTGAATGATAAACCTCTTCCTCTACTAGCTTCCTTGGAATTTACTCCCCCAGCCTCAGAACCCCTCTGTCCTACTGGGTCTGCACACATTCATCATTCTTTGTCTAAAAGGTATGAAAGCATCTTTCTCTGGCCATTTCATTGCCTCTTCACCTTCTTACGAGGGTCTCATTTTCAGGTGCAATTAATAAAACAGGGATGCTTGGGCTGAGTTGTGGCTCGGTGGTAAAGCATTTGTCTCATTTGTGTATGAGGCCCTGGGATCCATCCCCAGCACCATGAAAAAATAAAATAAAATTTAAAACTTAGATGCTTTTCTCTTGTTAATCTTCCCTGTATTCATTTGGTTCCCAGACCTAGCCAAAAAACCCACTCTGCTTTTTTCTTTCAGTGCTGAGGATTGAACCTGAGCTCACGCATGCTCTACAACTAAGCTATACCCCAATCCGAAAAACTCACTTTAGATTGTCAACAGGTATAGGTCATTATTAGTATCCACTATATCCGTTTACTGGCTGAGGGACACTGATCTTGCTTCCTGGTTTTGATGAGTACACATAAATCTTCTCTAAACACCCATTTATAAGTTTTTGTGTGAACATAAGTTGATATTTCTCTTGAGTTACGCTTAATTGTGGAATACTTGTGGAAGTATATGTTTGACTTTATTAAGAAACTGCTGGCCAGAGATGTGGCTCAGTATTAGCACATACGGTTAGCATGTGCAAGGCCTGGGTTCAATCCCTAACAGAGGGAGAGAGAGAGAGAGAGAGAGAGAGAGAGAGAGAGAGAGAGAGAGAAACTGCCAAACTGACTTCCATAGTAGCTGTGCCAGTTTTCGGCACCTTAAAACATCCAGAGATATCGGCCAAGCCTAGTCCTCCATCTCCCCAGCCTCTCACACCCATGTCAGCTGGCAGCCTGGGTGTCTTATGGCCTCAGACAGCCTGAGCCCAACTGCAGCCCCATCCAGCCCTCCTCCCAGTCTGATCACCAGCTCTGTGTGGTCCAGCACACTCGTCTTCCATCTGCTCGTCAAACTTACAAAGCACTGGTCAGGGCTGCCCTGTCTGGCATGCTTGGCTCCCAGATGCCTGCGATGAGAGCTTGCAGTTGGGCTGCTCCTCTGAGCAGGACACCTTACAAGTAATTTCACTGTTTCTTCCTCATGTCTACACATATTAACTCTGTGGTTAACAGCCCCACTTCAGAGAGGAGAAGACAGGAATAGAGAAGCTGGTTCACTGGGCTGGGGCAAGAGTTGGGGAGAGGTAGAGCAGGGTCACACTCAGTCTTTCAGGGTTTGGATATACTCTCTGGCGGCTCCAGGGCCAGTATGGCCCAGAGGGTCTCTCCAAGCATGCTTGCTTTCTGCCATCTCCTTGCTTCTCAGCATCTGTGATAATCATCACTTCTGTGCAGCATGTGGAGAAAATGCCCCCTAAATGCCACTGAAGGAAAGCCCTGCCCTCGTGTCTCTGCTTCCACACAGCAGTTGGAGTTGATGAGCACCTAGACTTTTCCAGTGCTCCATGGGGCCACCTGGCCAGGTAGGCGAGGAGATCACTCCACCTCTGCCTCCTGGCATATGTCTATAATTCCAACAGTCTTAGAGTCTGGGAGATTGTGGCAAGAGGACTGCAAGTAGTAAGAGCCCAGCCATGGCATATTTACAATTTAGTGGACCCTGCCTCAAAATCAAAAGGACTGGGGATGTAGCTCAGTCCAGAGGCCCTACTTTCAATCCCCAATACCAATAAAGAGGTGAGAGGGAGAGAGGAAAAAAGAGAGGGAGAAGGAAAGAGGGGGAAGGAGAGAGGGAGACAGAGAGGGAGGGAGAAAGAAAAAAGAAGAAAGAAAGAAAGAAAGAAAAAGAAAGAAAGAGAGGGAGAGAGGGGAAGGGGAGGAGGAGGGAAAAGAGGAAAAGGAAGGAGAAGAAAAGAAGGAAGGAAGGAAGGAAAAAGAAGAAATGAGATGAGCCTGACCCTGCCACCCCTACGATCTCATGGGCTCAGGGCTGAGGAGCACAGCTCAAGGGCAGATGCGCCTGAGCTTCGGATGTGAAGCTCCGCAGCCTGATGGTGCCAGCCTCCCGGCAGTCAGTACCCCTCACAGATGGAGGTAACTGGCGGCCACAGCAGCACCTGTAATTCTGTGACCCACCAAGCAGGATGCGTTTCCTCCTCCCACGACATTGCTGGGACACTAAGCTTGCCCTTGAGGGAGACCACGATCGGGGCAAGGGTCCTGCCAGTCAGTGGGTCAGTGAAGAAACACAGCTATTCATAGATCATGAATGTATTCATTCATTTTACGGTAGCTGCATTTCAGTAAAGTGAGTTTCCTTTGAAACCCCATGTATTTTATTTTATGTTACCCCTTTCAAAACGTTACTCAGACACAGGGCACTTTAAAGCTCTGGACTGTAGACCCCTAATCCCCAGCTAGGGTTTTCCAGGGAGCTGCTCCTCACCGCCTTGGGCTGCGGGCCTTACAGGGGAGGTCTCCCGGACTTTCCGTGGGTCTCGCTGCTCCCTGCCCCTGACCACCATAATCACTCCCCACACAAGCCCCACACAAGCCCCACGCCCTTCCCAGGGACAGGATATGTGACCTCTAACCTCCTAAGAGTCTTTTATACACTGCTGAAGCAGATGAGGATGTATTAAGCACCTCCTGTGTACACAGGGCTTGCTGTTCTGTGTGGACACAGCCATGAACAAGGAAGAACGAAAGTTCCTGCACTTGAGAGAACCACATTCCAGAGAGGTCAGTGCGGCCATGCTGCGGTGACTGCTTGGGAAAAGTGTGGTAGAAGGTCAAGCCCTGCACCATGTTCAAGGGGCCCAGCACAGTGTCCATGGGGGTCCAAGGAATAATAACTCAGTGTGATGATTTTGAGAGGAAGAATCCCGCCTAGCTCCCTTCCATTGGTCAGGGGAAGCCTAGACCTTCAGGATGAGGAGTTATATTTGCTAAGAACCAAGGGGAAAGTGTTGGGCAGCAGAAGCCTTAGTCCTCGGAGGCCACCAGGTTGCCGGAAAGCAGATGGGCAGTTCATTCCTGACCCTCTGGGGATGAGAAAACACCCACCTTTGATTCCCTAGAGTCACTGGGCTGAGGAAACAACCATTCCCTGGAGCCACGGGGTCTCCTACTGGAGACTGACTTCCAGATGGACAAAAGGTTAAGTCCCAGTAGGTAGGCAGAAGCCCCAAGGGGTCAAATGCTCCAGAGAGTGGGGTATCTGCATGAATTAACCCGACACAAAGGGGTCTGGGGACATGAGGCCTGGCTTGACCCCAGCTTAGTTAACTCCCTCTCCTCCCATGACCCTGGACAAGTCCCTAAAGTCCCTGAACCAATTTCTTCTAACAGTGTCCTCAGGTCTGTCTAGAGATGATGTCCAGCATCAACCTCTGTGCCTCCCAGACCTCAAGACTCAAGTCATTGAGCCAGTGAGGCTAGATTACCCTCTGCACTAGACCCTACCCACCCACCTGCACCTGTCTGAAAGCAGAGTCTGTGCTGGGCTTGTTTCAGCACCGAGGAAGCAGGAAGTGCAGGGAAACAGGCCATCACCTAAGAATGACTTAGAGCTTCTTATCTGGTCATAGGGAATCATCTAAATCTGCAGAATGAGGGCCTCCCTGGGCCCTTCACTGGGGCAAAAGGGGGAAGATGCTCCATTCATGGAAGCAGTTTGGGCAAAAGAAGGGGTTCTCTCCCAAAGGCTTTGGCCGTGGAGATAGCAGAATCTGAGCCCTTGCACACAGTCTAATTCAGAAAAAAAAAAAAAAAAAAAAAAAAAAAAAGGGCCATGGGCCCTTGTTTTTCTTCCATCTGCCACTGCCAGCCATGCCCTGTCTTCATGGGGCCATCTGAGCAGGGGTGACACCAGCATGGCCTTTGCCTGCTCCAGGCTATAGCAGGACACCTGAGGTCTCACCACTTTCCTTTCTTTTCTTGCAGTGGGAAGAAGACTGCCCTTCTTGGGGCTGCCTCCCCCATCTAAAGGAGCCCTGGGAGGGTCAGCTGTCCTGGGCATGCCTATGCACTTGGCAGGGGCATGATGCTCTGTAGAAAGGAGGAAGGGCAGGGAGGCACAGGGCAGGGAGAACAAGGTCGCTGCCTGCTGGGGGGTGGGGTGACATCTGTGTGAATGAGCGCACAGGTGAGCAGGACGACCTCCTGGAGTCTGCAAGGAGGCTAAGTTCTGATCTCTCATCAGGATGTTGCTGCCATGTCCCACCCCCACCCTGAAATGGGCCCCAGGAAGCCCCACAGCCAGCACACAGAGCTCCAGAAGCAGTGGATGCCTAGCACGCACCAAGGCCAGGCGGGGGATGGTCAGACAAATATTTCAACACAGTGGCACTCAAAGAGATCAAAATGCATTTAATGTGATCTAGTGTCATTGTCTACGTCTTTAGATACCGCTATGTTTTGAAAATAACATGAAAATTCTCCAGTTTCACCATTTAAAATAGATTTGACATTCTATGACCTCACACAGGGCAGACACCCCACACAGGGGCCTCCCAAAGGTGGCTCCTTCCGCCCCACCCCAGGCCCCTTGGGTGGGCAGGGACTGGGCGGCACAGCACCAGCAGAGGTTGGGAGGCAGCTGCCGTGCTCTGAGCAGCACAGACACACCGCCCCACTGACACATGCACACACACCCCAAGACCACACACATCCACATACTCACATACACATGTGTCCACACAGAAGGACACGCCATGGCCTCCAGCACATGATCCAGGTGTAGATGCTCACCTTCCATGCCTCACACTGGCACTGACTGATCAGGGCAGAGGACTGGGAGCTCTCAGGTTAGGCAGTGCCAAAGTCTGAAGTCAGCGCCCAATCTGACCAGTGTGCACCCAACCCTGGCCTGGTGAGTGTTAAATCAAGCCCCCAGGAGAAAATGAGCACACACGCACGTGCACACACACATGCACACACACACACACCAGTGGGTAGACACACATCTGGACATATCAAGTATCCACATTATCAATTCAGTGTCACCTATGTGGGGAGTCATGTGTGCACACCTGCACACACACACATATGCACACGTGTGTGCACACCCCTCCCCTCTCCACACTCGCCCCAGGGACCAAGTCTCCCTCACTCCTGCATGCCCTCGAGGCTCCTCATAGCTGTCCTCACACATCAAGTGCACTAAAAGGGGAGCTATTTTGGTCTTTAGCACAAGCAATAAATAAATAAATAAATAAATACGGTGGGGGGAAAAAGAGGACAGAAGAATTTGAAAACGCAGTATGTGCCAGCCTTTGGCGAGAGATGAAAGGCAGCCCAGGCTGCCCTCCCTCAAGCTCTGGGGCTAGGTCATTCTGGTGGATGTGGGCACGGGAGGACAGAACTGAGAGGCAAACGCACCAGGCCACTGAAGTGGCAGGGACCTGGGGCCCTGGGTCTGCTCAAGATGCAGAAAGTAGAAGGCTTGCCCTGTAAGCCTGGAAGGGCAGAGCAGGGCATAGGCCACCACCCAGTACCCAGAGACTGGGGCCACCTCTGTCCCTCACCTGGCAGTCTGGGCTGGATGGGTGAGGACTAAGCACTGCCATGCCAATAGCATCCCCAGAACACCAAGGCTAAGGCTGGGAAAGCCAGTCAGATGTTAGAGCCAGGGCCAGACCCAGGAGCCCAGAGGAGCTGAGGTCCCTCTGGAAGATCCTGAGAGGAAAGAGCTGCCTAGGGATAAATCTTCTGGGCCAAAAATTCAGGCAGGGTCTGATGGTAGGGCGGGGTGCCTGAAGTCTGGCCTAGCTCAGGATGAGAGGCTGAGCTGTCTCTGGAACCCATCCCAGATACCTTTCAGAGAAATGATAGCCTGTGTCTAAACTACCCATGGACCCTGATCCTCAGAGAAGATCTAAGAGGCAGGAGCCCCACCCCAGGCCCCAGACTCTCCCTAACTCCCTGCCCACTCACTGTGTGACCTTTTACACTCCCCTTCCCACTCTCAGCCTCAGTTTCCCCACTGGGGCCATATAGTCTCTGGCGCCTCTTTGTCCTGAGCTTGGGGGCATGGGTGGAAGCAGCTTGGGAAAGTGGACAGGAGATACAGGCTTCCCCATTACTGCCTTCCTGAGGTACTGGCCAGGGAAGACAGGTATCTTCAGCAGCCCCAGGAAAGGCTGGGCTCCTCGGCCTGGCCCCACAAGCTGGAAGATCAAGGCAGAGCCAACCCAGTCACAACAAGGGGCCTCGCACCTTTTCTCAGTCAGGGTACCCCGAGTGAGTGAGGCCTGTCCCAGGGCAATGGGGTTCCTGAGGCATCTCTGGGCCCTAACACTGCACCTTGCAAGGAAGTGATTGCCACTACCTGAACTCTCTGTGGCCTCTGTCCTCAGGGAAAACACAGAGGAAAGAGGAAGGAGCCCCATCCCAGGGCCCTGAAGCCTGAGCAGGAATTCTTTGTTCCATGGCCACTTTTTCAATTCATCCTTGAATAAATGTGACCCCAGGTAATGGGGCGGGGGAGTGACAATTCCTCTACTTCCCTGAATTCTTTCCTCTGCCTTTGGCAGCAGACCCCAAAATGGCTGGGAACCACCCCCACCCCACCCCACCCCCTGGGCTAGCCTGTATTGCCTGAGGTATGTTGGGGAGGGGGCAGGCAGGTGTGGGCCACGTGCCAGGAGCGCCATCTCTGCCACCTTCCCAGGGCAGATGGGGAGGGTAGGGAAGGGGGACAGGCAAGTCCAATAAAGACAGAAACAACTCAAGTCGGACAACCTGAAGTCTCTTAAGGCACAACTCCCCCTGCGGCCCAGTAGGAAGGCTGATCCGCTTCTACGGGTGAGGGAACCCGGCCTCCCTTCCCCTTTCCCGAGGAGCATCCCAAGTTTCCCAGCTGCCCCTCATCCAAAGGGGTGCAGACCCTGGCAGAAGTGGAGAGAGAGGCAAAACATGGGCACAGAGGCAGGAAGACCCTTAAGGGCAGGTCCCACCCAGCCCTGAGACCACCTCTGAGGTACAACATCAAACTCAAAAAGAGCAAATCAGCTTCTTCCCCAACCCCATCCCAATAGCATCTGAAAGCTTTTATTATGATCATTAACATGGTCTTGGTTCTTCTGTCACAAACAGAACCTAATTTACCCCTAAGTGTGATGAACTTAAGGGCCCTAGCACACATGGGGGAGAGGTCAGTCCAGCCTCAGGGAACCTTCTGGAACACCCATCCATCTAGCCGCTTGTGCTGCGGCAGACCAATGGTATTCTTGGTGTCCTTCCCCACAAGCCCATGAATTAAAAATAGTTTTTTCAATTGCATGTTATTATTTTTTTGTAAACAGTCTTACCCAAGCTAAGGTTGAGAAAGCTGAAATCTGGTGTTTCTCCCTAAGTTAAAAATCATCGAGGTGCCTGCAGCCTGCCAGCCATGGCCACAGAGGTGGGCCCCTGCAGGGTGACTCTGTGCAGGCCGCAGCTCCTTCTCCAGGCAGAAGGCCCTGGCTCCTATGGCTGGATCCCCAGGAAGCCCCTTCCCTGATCCTGCGTCATCTCAGCTTCTGAGACCGTGGCCTGCCCACTCTGGCCACCTGCTCTCCCACCAACTTTCCAAGCCTACTGCGAAGAAACATAAAACGACTAAAACGCTACTGAGTCTGCAACCCAGGGCACCTGGCCCACTCTGCTCAAACCCAGTGCCACCACAGGACACGGGGCCACTCCCTGGCGGGGTGAACCCTGCACTCGGCCACCAGCGCTCAGATCTCTGACTCGCGTCTGTAGGGCCGCTGCTCAAGGGCACCGCCACCAGCCTGCAGCCTGTCAAAGTCGTGCCGGGGCTGGGGACTGAGGCCATCCCGACTGCAGCCATCCTGGTCCCCTTCCACCTCGTCCTCCTCATCACGGCTCAGGAAGGCCAGCTCGTTCTCATAGCAGAAGGAATTGGCGCTGGGCAGGAGGAACTTGTTCTCCACCAGGTCCTTGGCACTGCAGCGGGGCGTGGAGGGCACCTCATAGGTCTTGTGGAAGTGTGAGTAATCAATCTTGTACTGATTCTTCTCTTCAAAGAGCACTGGCTCGAAACGGTGACCCCATAGGATCTCATTAGCCAGGTAGGAGCTGCGGGCCTGGGTGGTCATGGCCGTGGCCTCCACCATGCCCTCCAGGATGACCACGATCTCAAAGTCGTCCGTCTCCAAGTCCTGCCGACTGATGCCGAACAGTGGGCTGGCCTCGTCGATCTCGTGCAGGATGGTGATGGGCGACACCAGGAAGATGCGGTCCAGGCCCTTGTCGAAGCCCACGTCAATGTCTATCTGGTCCAGCGGGATGTACTCGCCCTCCTCCGTGACCCGGGGCTTGATGAGCTGGGCCCGGACGTGGGCCTCCACGATGTGGCTCTTGCGCAGGTTACCCACACGCCACATGAGGCAGAGCTTGCCGTCGCGCAGCGCCACCACAGCATTGTGGCTGAACAGCAGCGTCTGCGCCCGCTTCTTGGGCCGTGCCATCTTGGCCATGATGGCACCGATCATGAAGGAGTCAATGATGCAGCCCACGATGGACTGAGCCACCACCATGAAGACGGCCACTGGGCACTCCTCGGTCACGCAGCGCAGCCCGTAGCCAATGGTGGTCTGCGTCTCAATGGAGAAGAGGAAGGCCGCCATGAAGCCATGGACCTGCATCACACAGGGGGTGCGGCCACGACTCTCGGCTGGCTCCAGGTCACCATGGGCCACAGCAATGACCCAGAAGATGACGCCGAACAGCAGCCAGGAGGCAAGGAAGGCCAGCGAAAAGATGAGCAGCATGTAGCGCCAGCGGATGTCCACACAGGTGGTGAACATGTCGGCCAGGTAGCGCTGCGACTTCTCGTCCATGTTCGCGAACTCGATGTTGCACTGACCGTTCTTCTTGACGAAGCGGTTCCGGCACCGGCGCCGAGTGTGCACCTTGCCATTGCCAAAGCCGTTGGCACCCGCCATGGTGACCAAGCGCAGCCCGTCCTCCTCCGATGACACGATGCTGTAGGGGTTGGCCCGACTGGCCGCGGTCATCCCGGGGGCCGGGGGGCCCTGACCTGGCCCCAGGCTGGCTCCAGGCAGGGAGGCTCCTGCAACAGAGAGGACAGGGGTCTGCTGGGCAAGTAGACGGCCCCTCCTCTGTCCCCACCAGTGCCCACGGCTGTGACCAGCAGACCTTGGAACCCCATTCATACGTCCTTCCTCCATCCCTCACCTTCTCATCTTGGAAAGTGGCCTCCTAACAGCTCAGGTCAGAAACCTCAGTTTACTCCAGCTCCTCTGATTCCCATACCCAGGGCTCTGTTTTCAAAATGTATTTAGAATAAAACCCCTTCTCTCACCCTCATGGCCTGAGTCCCCATCACTGCCCCCCTGGACTAGGGGCTACCTTGCCAACCTCCCTGCACGTGCTCCAGCCCCTAATGCAGTCACAGGCTGAATCAGATCCTGTCCCTTCTCTGTTCAAAGCCAGAGGCCCTCTGGGACCTGCAGGACCTGCACAGGCAGGACCCGTGACCCTCCAGTATCACCTTGAGCCCCCTTGCTCACCCTGCTGGACACCCTTCTACTCCACATCCTCCTGCCACCCTCAGACTGTGCCCCAATATGCCATCCCCAGAGGGCTTTCTGCGCCTGAGGACTGCCCATCCCATCCTACAGTCACTCCATGGCACCGAGCCACCACTGGACTAACAACAGCAGTGACAGCCGTGATGACGCAGGTGGGTGGCCTGGCCTGGGACCCAGTAGTGACAGCCCCAGCCCCGAGAGCAGGCCTTTCCTCTTCTGTTCACTGTCACTGTCTCCCCCAGGCAGAACAGGGCCTGCCAGCCTGGTCCCCATCACTTCAGACAGATCAAGTGGGGTCCCACCCACACTCCACGCTCCTGACACCCACACAGCTTGCCTGCTGTGCCCCCTTATGCACCAGCAGGCCAGGCCCATGACCTCTCTGTCACTAGAGACAGTAAGGGGTGGCCCTAGAGTGGGGGCCCAATCCAGGGTCACTTAGGGTTTCCTCAGTCACAGCCCAGGGGCCTCTCCAATGCCTGCTTCTTTCATCTCTAAATGAGGACCACAGGGTCACCGCCGCAGCACACGGGAGCACACAGAATGTCACCTGCTCCCATCACACCCTTGGCCGCTGGTGTGGGGGCTAACTTGACTCCACACACTCGTGCATACAGTCCTCTCAGTCCATCGCAGCCAGCAGAACAAATCCTGCTCTCAGGCCTGGAACACCCAGTTGTATCCCCTCCCCCGCTCCCCCACTGCCCCACAAGCTCCACTCGGGCCAGTGGTGCCAGGCTGAGCTAGGAGTCACGGTACTGCCTGGTCTTGTGGCTCCTGACACCATCAGGACTTCAGCCTGCCTGGGCTGGGCTAGGCTGGACTCCAGGGCAGAGCTAGGGCTGCTTGGTATGGGCAGAACACTGAGGAGCTGGGCACATGCCTCCCTGCCATGGGGACCCCACACACCCCTATTTTCCACCCATCACACCAGGAGGTCAGAGCCAGACAGAATCTCAGGGCCCTGATCACCTGCGCCACACTACCAGGAAGAGACACTGAGGCCCCCAGAAGAAGGTTCCAGAGCTGCTGCAAACCTCTTGGGCCCTCTGGGGAGGGGTGGGTCACCCCGTTTTGCAGACTCAGCAACTGGAAGAGACCTGCCTGAGGCCCAGGCAGGAGGCAGCAAGACCAGGACTCAGCTCCATCTGTGCAGCACAGCTCCTGGCCAAGTCCGTGGAAGCCAGGGTCTTAGCGAGGACATGGCCTCCAACCTCCGCTCCCAACACCAGACGAGAGTGAGATCACAGGCCAGGCCAGGTGGGAAGCGCCCCCAGGTGGGGGCCCACTGCTGTGCTGTGAGCCTGCAGCCTGGGAGGTACATGCGCTCCCAGCTACGGCGGGCTGAAAGCCACAGGAAGAGCCAGACACAGCCACTGCCCTCAGATCGCCCTCTAGCAACCCACAGCCATCACCACTTCTACTCTCTGAATGAGGGTTCAGAGACGCTAAAGGCCCTCCACTCCCACCAAGCCACACAGCCACAAACAGGAAAGCTGAGATCCAAACCAATTGCATCCAATGCAAAGTCTCCCTCTGGGGACCTCCGGCTCCACAGGGACACCTGTCCTCATTCTGCCACTGTCCCCCCACAGATGCTCCAGATGACCACCTCACCATGCGTCTGAGGAGCTGAGCCCCGATGCCGTAATGGTGGCTGCTGCTTCTGCCTGGGCCAGGAGGCAGAGAGCTGGCAGGGCTGGGGAACCTGGGGACTGCGCTGGGAGCATGGTTCAGCCCCAGATTCTGGGGCCCTCCAGGGGCAGGCGGCCAGGGTCGGTGCACTCAGGCGCCGGCGAGAGGCTGCCACATCCCAGGGGGTGGGTTTGTGTGGCCTAGAGGCCTGGAGGGTCATCCAGCGGGTCATGGCTGCTCCAGCTCCTGCTCTGAGCAGCTCAAGGCCTGCAGAGAACAGAACCGTGAGAATCAAAGACCAGAGAGCCCAGCCTGGCACCCTGTTCCCCCACCCTGATGGCCGTGTCTCTGGCCAGCCACCAGTGGGTGAGGGTGCTGCAATGGCTCCTGGCATCTCCACCAGGGCTGGGCACCTGGGACCCACCTAGACAATGACAAACAGGCACGGGAACTCCTACTTCTGTTGACGTTCCTCCTAAAACCACACAGAGAAAATCAACATGGTCAAGTTCACACCTGCTCTTCCATTTTCCAGAGCCAGAAACTGACCTGGAGCAAAGTCAAAGTCAAAGTTGTCCAAAAACACCCAGAAACTGAGTACCAGAGACAGAGACACAGTTGCAGCCCAGAGCATCAGTCCTTGGCCTCTTCCAGTGCCCCTTCTATTGCACATGCATGTGTGTGTGTGTGTGTGTGTGTGTGTGTGTGTGTGTGACAGACAGAGACAGACTACAAGTGTGAGAAGTCCCCTCACAGGGCACTAGTTAAATGAACATAGAGCCACAAAGAAGACCCACAAGAAACTCATGAGCAGAAACTCAGCACCACAAGCCAAGCCTGCCCAATGTTCCAAGGACACTCCCACACAACACAAGTATGGCGGCCTTTAAGAGCCGGCCTTTAAGAGCCCACTTCAAGAAATGTAGGTCAGCCCCCTCAGCCAGAGATGTGCAGGTCTCTTTGGCTCCTGGCTCAATGGGATGCAAATGGTGAAATCAGGTAAGAAAAGGAATCAGAGAACTTGTTTTGACACAACAAGCCTTAGCAAGCAAGGAGGTCAGCTCTGCATTTTATAGATGTGAAAACCAAAGCCAAGAGAAACAGAGACTTGTCCCAGGCCAAGACAAGTTAAGACCACTCTAGGAAGCCCTGGGTGGCCAGTGGGGCTCACAGGCCTCACTAGAAGAGGGAAGGCAGGGATGCCGGGCACTACCTGAGCTGAGCAGGGCAGTTTCACACTGGAGGCTCAAATCCAGCCCAGCAGGCAGAGCTCAGGGCCAAGGGACAGACCCAGCCAGCGGTGGTAAAGTCCCCCTAGAGCGGCAGCCTTGCCACCTGATTCTTGCCAGTCACGGTGCCTGCAAACGCAGCCTCCCATTGTCGGGTGTGCTGGGAGCACCAGCTGGGACTTGGGCTGGAGCTTATAGAGGGGACAGCAAACCGCAGCTGCCACCCGAGCCAAGGGTGGGGCCTGAGAGTCACTGGGAGGGGCCTCCGGATGGAGCAGGACACCCCATGCCCAGTCCCTGAGGCTGTGGGCACCTCAGGTTTCTGTAACATCCGGGAGGGGCCAAGACAGGGACTGGGTTCACGTTGGGAGGGACGGGCTCAGGGCTCCCGGAAGGGCTCATCAGCAAAACCTCCAGCAGAGCCCCTGGCTGCCTGGACCTGCAGCACTACGAGCACAGTGGTTAAAATGTACAGACCACCTACCCCCTTATAGGTGCTCTTGTAAAAGTTCTAAAAAACTCGTCACTCAATCCCTGTAATAACACGGTGACTAAGCACTGTCTCTATTCCTAGTAAGGAAACTGAAACTCACAGAGGGTGCCTTGGAAGCACAGAGCTTCCAGTCTATGGATGAGGATGAAACACCACCCTGTCGCCGCAGGCCCTGGTGTTGTGCTGTATCCGTCTCAGTCCTGTAGACCCTGCACTTCCATTTGGGGACAAGACATACAAACAGCCGCAGACTCACACCCATAAGCAGAGGTTTAGGGGTTCCATCAGCACCAAGCCATGGCCACCTGCCCTGGTTTAGGACATCCAGAGATAGGACACTTATTACCTCATGAAGATTCCTTAAAAATACTCCATGCAAGGCAAGGCAGTGGGTAACCTACATGCACTGGTGCCTCCTCCTCCTCCCCCTCCCGTCTCCCCCTTCTACCACTTCTTCCCTGTGACAGATGTCACTAATCAATCACAGAACTTTCCATTGCATCCAGGGTGACCCCAGAATCTTTCCTAATCTAGTCGCTATCCATCAGGCTTAGCCTAAGAGGCTCCAAGAAGGCTCCCAGGCTATCACACAGGAAATCAGGGGCCAGGCAGGCTGGGTGTGCAGAGTTCTCTCTCATGCCAGACCTTGTCCAGACAGTTGAACCACAGTAGAGCCAGACTGGCAAGGTGGGACAGTGAGGAGGGGTATTCCTGATGGGGGCCGGGCCAGATCCAGGAGCTGGAGGTCCAGCAAGGTTGAGGCTGCCCAGTGAGAGCCAAGCATGCTGTGCAGGGAGATGAAAAGTTGGTAGGGAGCTGACACTTCTGGAGGAAGATGATCTCTCCTGCCCAACCACCTGTCCAGGCGTGCCCACACTGAGATGCTCTGGTAGTCTTGGCCTTGTGCTCACCCATGGCCTATAAACATGGGGTCAGTGAAGTACAGGACTTCTGTGTTCAAGCACATCAGGCCCAGGACAGGAATGGTCACCCTAAGTCAGGAGGTACTGGGGCAAGGGGTTGGGCAGGACAGCTGTTATATCCCTGAGCCCTCACCACCACAGGGCCTGCCTCCCCTGACTCCACCAAACCATCATCTTCTTGCCTGGAAATTCCCTCTGGCCCCTGGAGCACACTCTACACAGGCACAGGGCAGCTGATGCCACCAGGAGCGAGAGAAACACTTCAAATTTCTGACCATGGATGGCAGGCCTCCCCGCCCAGCTGCCTAGCGGGATGGGATACCAGTTGCCCCTGCAATCACTACTGTAGGTCAACATCCTTTGGTTGGCTCCTTCTCTTCCTTGTCTCACTCCCTCGCTTCCTTCTGGCACATCCAGAGTTTACTTCCCACTAAACTACTTGCACTGGGACCTTTGTCTTCTGGGGCCTCCAGCGGCTTCTACCCCACAAAGGCTCCAAAACCAGGCTCACCTCCTCGGCACCCATAACGCCACGTGGTCAATATGGCACCTCTTTTCTTAAGCCCTCTTCCTTTCTTAAGCCCACTGCTCCTCTTCTTCCTGCTCCTCCTCCTCTATCATTCAGTCTTTTTGGATTCTCCAGTCCTGGGATTTTTCTGTGAGGTTCAGAAGCCATTTTCTACTTTGCACCCTTGCATAAGAGATGATCTGCCTGGTCCCATTTCTAATAGACCTCAGAGACCAGAGAGGCTGGTGCAAGCCTGGCACACAGGAGGCCTAGGAAATGCTTCCAGCCCAAATGAAAAGGACAAGGCATAAGCAGTGAATAAAGGGATGGACGAGGAGGTGATGGAACCATGAATGAGGAGACATATATGCACAGGTGGGTGGTCAAGCAGATGGATAGATAAATCGGGCTGACAGGTGGGTGGGTGGATAGACAGCGCTAACCAAATAGATGGATGGGTTAGGTAGGTGGAGAGGTGGGTGGGTGGATGGTTGAGCAGATGAATGGGTTGGGGAAATGAGTAATGAATGGATGGGGTGGGCAGGTGGATGGATTAGTGAGTGGATGAATGGATGGGTAGGTCAGTGGGTGGATGAATACATAGGCGGATGGGTGGGTGGATGGGTGAGGGGTGGGTGGAGGAATGGGTAGGTGGATGATAGGTAGATGCATGGCAGATGGAGCTACTGGAAGGATGGCAGGTGAATAGGTCAGATAGGCGGGTGGATGGGCAGAAAAAGAGACGAAGGAGTGGGTGGGTGGAGGCAACAATAGCGTCTGGCAGGTGGACACTGAGCAGCACAGGTGCATGTCAGGAACCTTAATCTTACCTCTTGAATTGTATCTTCTAAGTTATAGTGCTGAGTGGGCAAGCGGCTGGCTTCACAGCTGAATTAGCAGCAGCTGCCATGTTCCAGGCCCCAGCTGGGAAGAATCCAGTCACCTGTAGATCCTAAAATGAACAGAGCAAATCCAAGTTACTGCACACATTTCTGCTCTCTTCAGAAGGGCTCAGAGCCTTCTACATGAACCTACATTTCTCCTCACTTCCTCCAAAGTCCCATGGGAGGTAGAGGGGGCCTCCAGCCTACACCTCCGATGCCCCCACAAGTTCACATCATTAAAGCCCTGTCCAAGGCAACTATCTAGAACCAGACAAGGGAAGAATAACATAGGTCCTCAGAGAAAATATCAGCTGACAATTATTAGTGCCTCCTGCATGCCAGACACCATGGTAAATGCTTTATCATCTCCTGTAATCCTCCTGGATTGGAACTATTGCTATTCCATTCCAGAGAAGCAGGTAATGTGGTGCTTCTCCTAGGCCAGCGATAGTGAACGTTTTAGAGCTTTCAATTATAACGAACAGCCTGCTGTGGCACATGTGCCATAGGTTTTCCACCATGTCCTAGAGTCAGAAGGCAACTCTAGCCCTAGACTGTCTATGCTCCTAGCTACCAAGCCTTCCCAATGTCACCCCTGGGGCAGTTGGTTGGGTAAGTGTGTAGGTGGACATGTGAAGGGACAGATGGACAGATGGGGAGCTAGAGCACAGATGGTGGGTGAGTGGAGGAAGGATGGATGGATGAATAGATGGATGGACAGGTGGACAGATAGATAGGTGGATCTGTGGATGGATGGATGGGTACATAGATAGATGGAGAACTGGATGGACAGATGGGTGGACGAAAGATGGATGGATGGATGGAAGGATGGATGGATGGATGGGTAGATGAGTGGGTGGATAGATGGGTGGGTGGATAGATGAGTGGGTGGGTGGATAGGGTGTTTGGGCAGGTGGCAGAGATGAATAAGCAGAGGAGTGAATGGGTAAACTGATTACTATACATGTGAGTAGACTTTAGTAACTTGCCAGGGACTTGCATTGGCCACACCCACACCCAATATGTGCAGTCCCCCAACATCAATTTCCCATCTGTCAGAGGGCCCCTGCCTTTCCTGCTGTGAGGCTCATGGGAGAGGGTTCTAGGAAGAGGCTCTGTGAGTTCCCAGAGCTCAGCCGTCTGACATGGCTCCCACCTCCCAGGCACTGGGTCCACGGAGCCCTGCCCTTTCCAAGGGCACAGGGAGTCTGGTTTGCCACACTGTCACACTGGCTTTTCTGGTTGGGATTAAGG